GTGAAGGTGGGTGTGAAAGAAGGCTGCAGTCCCAGCGACACGGTGTAGAAGTCGGTACGTACCGATACCCCTGTCACAAAATCTTGGAGACTGGAGATGTCCCCCCAAAGTAGATAGGCGACAGGTGAGAATCATCCATGTGCTTTTCCTCTGTCTCCCACAGGGCTGCTTGCGTCGGGACGGGGGGGGTGAGGTAAAAAGGTGAGGGTGAGATTCAGACTTCACTGCTCGCTTTGCAGGGGTATGCCTCTCGTGCCTTCCTGGGAACTTTCCTTACTGCTAAAAGCATCCTGGCTGTATCCGTCCGTAGGAGGAAGACATCAAGAGCGTCTTTCGGTACGTAACTGCGTACTTTGTGCTGTTGGCTCCCAACCTATTCTTTCTGCGGTACGGAGTACGTACCTACATACCTGCCTGTGGCCTACCCCTCCCCCCTCCTTCCATCGCAGTCGACACCCAAGGTAGATAGAAACACAGTACTACGGTAGACATTCGAGCCTAGTAGACAAACGTAGCTGGTAATCATACGAGTTGACAGGTGGCAGATGAGGTGGCAGATGGCAGGTGCTTCTAGGCCTTTGACCGCAGTGTCTGAAGATTGGTGTCGGCGCGGGCGCTCGCAATGTTACGCTACGGATCCCGGGTACAGGAGATGAATTATGGTGGTGGTGGTGATGATGATGATGATGCCGATACTGGGGCATGATGAAAGTGCGCTTCGCAGCTAAACCACCTTGGGGACGCATGTCCTCTGCGTACTAACTCACTAGCTGAGGATCCCTTAGCTTGGCGACGCCGCTTTCTGGATGCCGGGACTAGCCAAAAGTACGGTGGCTTGACTGAATGACTTGAGACCTTGGCTGTGCGTATGGCGTCGCTTCTTCTTTCACTGCTTGCTTCGCGTTTTCTTGGTCAGCACCTCGATCCCTCATCCAGTCTTCCCATCCATTGGACGACGCTCGACTCCGACCGGAACGGGTGAAACGATCGAATCAATGAAATGACCAAACCTCCTTTCTTGTCTGGACTCTAGTCTCTGGACACTAGACTCCAATGACTCTAGATAATTCGCAACAACCTAGAGATTACTTGTCGCGTCGCGTGTCAGATTGATATTGCTCACCCACGGGCTCGATGAAGCTGTTTGCCGTTGAACTAACTGGCTGGAACGTGCGCCTTCCTTGCACTTATTTTGCTTGTCGTCTTAATAATCTTTGGTACCCCAATCCTCCTGGGATGCTCGTAGGTGCCGGGAAATTTGCTAATGCCCTTGGAATTCTATGCACGTAATGCTTATCGCCCATCAAAGAAGGAATGAGAAATGTCATATAATAATGATATTATTCGACCTGGAATTGACAGCATGTCGGGTCCAAGGTGTGGCCCGTGGAAAACCGAAACCCGAAAATCCCGATGAGAAAGATGACTTGGCTCCCGTGACCTATGTCTCGTTGGTTGTATCGAGTCGTCGACTAGGAACTCGGTCGATTCGAGTCAATGTCTACGAAAATCGCACAATGGCATTCGGTCTTGTTCTCGGCTCTCAGCGCGTGACGGAGTCTGCCGAGAAGAGTTGATTAAAGGATTCCACTGGAAAGAGCAAAAAGCTTCTTTTCTTTGCCCCCAACTTGGTCGCTACCTAGACCTAAAGATCGGGACCCCTTCCCGAGAGCTACCTATTGCAGCTGCCCGGTGTCGGATCCGCCGTCTTGACTCGCGAGCAGGGGTCGACGAGAAACATACAAACAAAGAACTACTGCGTGAGAGACGTCGATTACGGACAAATACCTGATTAGAGAGTATTGAATGAAACGCAACGTACCGTCTTGACTCTTCTGTACTCATCGAGGAAAAGTCCAGGATGCCGTGTGTCTATGGAATAGGATGGGTCGGCGATGACTTGCTCCGTGATGCAGCGGTCGGTGTGGATTTTTACTGGTATTTGGATTTCCATTTCTCAATGGAGGAATGATAGTTGAGACCGCCCCTCCCCTTTCACGACGCCACACCAAATGCTTGGAGAGAAGGGAACAAGATGGGTGGTGCCGGATGGCCCATTGTGGCCGAGGGTAGAAAACGCATTCGGGCCTGATCCTAGTCTTTTCGAGGACGTGAGCGCTCCGTGATGGATACGCAGTCATGATCGCTGTGCAATATCTTCCTGCACACGAAGAGCTGGTTAATAACAAAGGCGGCGGTCATGGTTGTGCAGGCCTGGCCAGCGAGCAAAGCCGCGTACGAAGGTAGGTAGCTAGCAGCAGCGGACCGTCAACCACCGCAGTTGAGAAAGCAAAGACTCAGAGAGCCACAGCCACGAGAGCGTGGCAGCCAGCGAGCAGGGCCCCAACCATGAGAATCGAGAGCCCTTGTTCCCTGCTCAACCTTTGGGATTTTTACGGTCGAGGTTCCCAGCGGATGGGAATCAAATAGTTGTGGCGGCGAAAGGGGGCGTGTGGCCGGTGAAGGGCGTGGCAAGCCATCTGACTGGCTGGCATGACATCCGCACGCACTCCCAAGACATGCTGTCCGCGGTACGGCACAGCCAGTCTCCAGAACACGACGACATGCCGAGCAGGATGCTGCACGACCTGCTTCTGCACCTCCGGATGCGTGGCACTCCCTCCAGACGGCAAATTCTAAGGCTTGGGCATGGTCTTGGCCATGATTTCGAGCAAGTTCAAAACTTGCGCAATGCCCTTTGCTCCTGAAAGCATGCCTAGGCGCACAACGAGTGTACCGTCTTTCTTGTGTCTTGTATCTCGTACAGTAAAGCGTAGGAAGAATTAGGATGGGGGTTGGCTGCGGTAGGTACAAATCGAATCGACCGTCTGCAAGCGCTCCAGGATGGGTTGATCTTGATCATGCGTATGGATAGCGCCAGGGAGAGGGAGACAAGCCGGCGACGGCTGGTGAGCCTGGGTCTTGCATAGGCAACCTGAAGTTTGGAAAAGGGCAGCGGGTAAGGTTCTCGCTACAGAGCTTGGTAAGTGTAGGCACACTATACGGCACATCACACATGGATGGGGAAGAAGGAGATAGAGCCAGAATAGGAGACTCACAGCCGCGTCGTCGCGGAACGGGAGCGCGGGCTGAAATGAGTGTGTGGTGTGTAGTAGGTAGGTGTGCAACTGCGGATCGACGTACCTCTGGTGGGCGGTAGGCGTAGGCATTCAACGTGCGCAACTGATGGTAACGTGTGCCTCGGTACCGAGCAAATAGCGCTCAAGCTGAAAGTCGAGTTTTTGGTAGGAGGGAGTCAGGGCAGGTCGAGGCACCAGCAAGCAAGGTCCAGGGCCGGAAGACCGCGGCCGCGGAGCTGAGAGAAGCGGCACCGTGGGTTGAAATTTTCCCTTCCCCTGGTCGTAGATGTGGTCCTTGTGGTGTGTGTGGTGTATGTGGTGTGCATTTGGATGCCCACAGCTGGCTTGGGGTTCCCTGACGTTAGGTTCTGGGACTCTGGGAGGAGCCGCTGACGGTCTTTGGTGTGCGGCGTGGCCTAGGTGCCCTGCTCGTGCTGTGGTGGTCCATACCGGGAATTGAGATGCAGCCAGCTGGGCGCGAGGGAAATACCGACGAGTGGGACAGAGTGACGGTGTTCGTCTGTGTACGAATACAGCTGCGGATCGTGATGAATTTTTGGGCGACCCTGTGTCCAAGGTACGTGAGCTGACGAGCTACAAAGCGAAGATTCTCAAGCATCCACCTCACCTCCAATTGCATCAAGCATCTAGCGCAAGGAAACAGAGAATTGATAGCCAAGAGGAAGGGCAAAGGAGAGAAAGGGAGAAAGGAAAGGAAAAAAAAAAAGAGGGACCACCCAAGCGACAGGCATGTGAGGTGGGAATGTCGGATCTGGTGTGTGTTGCGGTAGGTAAGGCAGGTGGCCCGGCGGCGGCCCAGAGTGGGTATTCGCGGAGAGAGGTATATATTTATATGGGGCTTGTATATGAACATTGACGCACACTGCACGACGCAGAGTTGCGAGGTCTCGTGAGATGGTCAAAGGGATATGTCGACTTCAGGCTGGTGCTTGGCTTTGGACTTGGGGACTTGGGAATTTGGGAAACTCGGGGGGGCATGGATGCTGGGGTCTGCGATGAGAGAAGGTAGGAACGCGAGACGGTGGGGTCTTTCCTTCTCCTCTGGATCCAAAGTGGACACCAAGAGCCTAGGCCCCAGAGAACAGAGATCTGCGCCATTTTTCTGCGCTAGCCTGATGGATGATGAAGTGGGTGGGGACTGGGAAGGAGTCCGTGACCGGGTCCACCTCCTTCTCTCTCTCTCACATTTTTTTTCCCTTCAATTTTTCCCCCCATGCCATCGACGAACCAGGTCGAGCGATGCAAGGTGAAGATTGATGCTCCCCCTCCCCTGCACCTTGCCTCGCCTTGGCTTTGAGGGCTTGGGAGGGGGGCTGATGTGCCGACTCTTCCATCTATCACTGGCCATTCAGCTTGATGCCCTTGTCGATCGTCGAGATGCTCAGTTACGGTTGCATTGGCATCTGCAGAAACATTGCCAACACCTGCAAATCTGGATATCCGAATCACCAAAACCCAAACCCGACGAGATGCACACGTCCCAGCGACCCAGACAGCCAGATGTCCCAAGTTGCAGACGGAAGCCTAGTGTAGATGCGTGGGGTACCTCGTTTGTGCATACATGCGTACCGTAAGGAAGCAGTACGAGCACTGCCGTCTCCCGAAGCCATTGTGCACTGTCGGATCCGTCATCGCCAACGCCGGGGCCGTCTCGGCACGGCAGCTGAGGAATGACAATTGCGATTGAGACTCGACTGCATCGGGCAAGGAGCAGCCGGTTGTCTGGACGCGTTCCCGTAACTTGTCCGTGTCCTCTTCCGACGGACAGAGAACAAAGAAAGCAGAGGCCGCCTTTCATGGTGCCGGCCAAGGGGGAGACATTGAAGAGGGACTTGCCGTGTGGTGCCCGCGATCTAGACTCCGCGAGTGTGGGACCCTGACTCGGGCGGAGTTGAGAGAATGCTTGCACTAGAGTCGATCCAGGTGGACGAAAACAGCATGGACGCCTCGGGGACTTCTGAGCCCGGCGTCTTGAACACAACACTAGCCCCGGCGTCCGTGACGGGGCTCTGCTACCAGAATATTCTCCGCCCGCGACAGAGATTGTGCTACCAAGTACGAAATACATACAACCGAGTGGATTCGGGTGGGTTGTGGATTGTGGCCTGTGGTCTGTGAGCAGCGACGAAATGGAAACCAACATTCCCTCCTCACCTGGTTCTGACACCGTCGGTCATTTGGCACTATCTCCTGGTCCGGTCTGGTGTACAAATGCTTGGCTACAGAATTCGCTCCGTTTCTGCGCTGTTGTCCTATCCGTACAAATGCTGCGTGGTCCTGTGCGTTTTCTCGTGAGGGCGGTAATAGCCTGCACGCAGAACCGCACTTTGATAGAGTTCTAGAGGTTTGTATAGTCACCGAGGATCTTGCTGGCACCTCGGTCGCGCTCAAAGGTTATTTTGGCGCGCCGGTCCAGGGCTTGGGATCAAACGGTGGTCTAAACTCTGGTCTGGCGATCACCCTAAGACTATGATGCTTAGGGGTTCGGCGGTTTCCTACACTTGATCTGTCAATTGGTGTGGAGCCCATAAGGTCGATTCCTGAGCTGCGTCTATAGACGGGGCTGCGACAAGAACAGCTGCTGATGGGACGAAGGCGTAACTTATTTTCTGGCCAAGCCTCGAGGATTGAATATCGGACGTTTCCAACGGCTTGGTGAACGCCTAGGTTGAAGATGAGGGGCTCGGACTGTAGCAGAAGAAGCCACCATCGTATTTACGATGTAGAAATCTCGTCGATCAGCACACGTTTTATGGACGAGCCCCCTTGAGCTGACCAAGAGTGCGCCACCAAGAAACGGGCATGAATGGTACAAGAAAGATTCCATCCACTACACGAGAGTCACAGTTTCGTCTTGATACTCACTCTAGAGTCTGCAGACAAATTCCCCTGAAGCGATATAAGTTGTAAGCCCTGTTGCTTGAGACGGCACATGTCTCCTTACACAAAGTGTCTGATGTCGAGCTTGTCCCTGTCACCCACCAGTAGCTCGGGGGCTATCTTAGCGTTTTCCCCGCAAGTTCGACTTGTCAAACGATTCCCCAAGCTAGGGCCTAGGTGTGCGCTGGTGTTGGTGCAGACACGAACGCTGAGGCTGGCTCATCCTGTCTCGAGTTTCCCATCCATCAGGAGCGTGCGATCGAGCGAGACGCGACGCGACGTAGTCGAGGTAGCTAGTGATGATTGAACGTGTGGACAATCAGGAAGACGACAGCACTGGAGAAGGCAGCTGGATACAGCTAGCCTGGTGACTTCAATCTATTCGTGCCTCTCAATGCGAACATTGAAGCTCGTGTCGTCTCTGCGATCTTGAAATCTAGATCTTGGGAGGTAGGCTTTTTGACGCGAGTGCTAAATTCCGATCGTTTGGCCGAAATTCGTCAAGGAATAGTCCCTTGCTTCGCAGCGAAGCTCAATCTACGATGGAGTCTCGGGGGGGGGGGGGGGGCACCATCTGGGTAGAGATACCCTCATACTCTGTAGGGAGACAGAGTACACGTACCGCGTCACGGGAGTGATAAGGTGTCACACATCGTTAAGACGAGGTCCTTGGGGAAGCCGGAGATTCGACAATCGACAATCGATACACTTTTGGCTTCCAATCCGTGAAGGGTGGGTTTTCTGGAGAGCAGAGAGTCAGAATTCGCTTGGAGAGAATAGCCTCGGGGATGAGGGCTGTTTGGTGCTAACTGGAAAGGCAGCTAGCGGCATCCGCTTCCTCGATTTTGGAAATGGGGTTTTCCCTTCGCTTGTGCATCCCCCTGTCATCGGGCACCTCAAGGCCGGGCGACCTCGCGAGGAGACGACGGACGGACGGGCCACCCCTCCACGTCGACTTTGTCGCAGCTGAGATCTGCCGGGGGCGGATTTACCAGGAATGCCGAGCCAAACGCGAGACGGAGGGGGGGAGGGGGCTCAGATGCCAGGGTTTGAAGTCGACCAGATTCGAGGTTTTCTGTTTCTGTCCTCCATACTCCGTATTTCGCATTGCGTGGTGCACTGCACGGCTTTGGTGAGGTTCAGTCCTGGTCAAGCGCTCAGTCAATGAAGTCAAAGGAAAAGGGGGGCAATTGGGGGGTAAAAGATGGGAAGGGGTGGCCCAGCCCTCCAGGCAACCTTTATTGGGTTCCTTGCAAGGAGCTGCAGCATCCAGCTTGCCCTGCATCCCATCCATGGGAATGCCCCCCCTCCCCTCTCCTTTTCCCCTCCGTACCCTCTACCTTGAACCTCGCCCTCCACCATGTCAATCACCACAGTGTGCTGCTTCCCCCGCCCTGTTTGTAAGGTCGGTAGGCTGTAGCCTACTAGTTAGTTCCCTTCTCCTTGCTTCAGAAAATTTCCAGAGGGCTGGAGCACCGGGAGACCCTGAACAGCTTCCCAGAAACCCAAGCGACTTGGTGTACACTACTACGTACGGATAGAGAGCAGGGGATGTGATGTGAGGGCTTGTTCCTTTTCCCTCCTGGTTACCCCTCGCTTAATTGTGACAGCCCGCGACCCTATGACTGCGGCGGCGAGCATTCGACATTCATACCTTGCCATCCAGGTTAATTTGCACTGCAAAATGATGAGAAGTGGGTACTCCGCGACTCCATATCAAAGATGCCTTCCAAGACAACCAAAAGATGCATGCGGAGTCGAAAATCGGAGGAGGCGGATACTGGGCAGTAACAATGGCACATATCAATTACACATGCCTCGGTGGAACTGAAAACAAAAGTGCAGTTATCCAAAATTGAGGTGGGACTTTGGACAAGAAGCATCCATAAGGTACTCCTTCCGTACGGAGTACTGTGAGAATGGAAGGGCTGGAACTTGCAAGCGAGTACGGGTAGTGACTGCTCTTGCCGAGTAACAACGGCGATGGCGACGGTGACGGTGAAGGTGGACGGACGACCGTGGCACGGCCTCGGCCGGAAGTGGCCGCTGGGAAGCGGTCGTGCCTCCTCTCGGTGAGCTCGCTCTAAATCGAGGTGAGGGCTACTTCCACGGGCATGTAGCCGTCCACGTCTGATTGGATCAGGTCATCATGCACTTCAAGCATTTATGGCACTTTCCTGGGCAGTCCTCCATGTGTACCACCGTGCCACCTCCCCATGAAGCAGGCGCCCACGGCACCTTCAACTTTGGTATGTTACTACCACTTGCTTGCGGAGTAGGTGCGCAGCACAATCGCTTTGGCGCATAGATGCCCACACACTTTCCACGTTACAAAAGTAATGCCTTTCGTGCCTTCCAACTCAAGAAGTACCTCGCATACCTCCTACCTAAGATACCTTGAATTAATTGTACCTGAGGCAGAACTCTTGTCAGCTGGTGAAATGGAATGGCAAAAAGGCAAGTACAGTAATATGTACTCTGCAAGCACTCATCACTTTTGTCCTTTCCCGAGCTCAATTGTTGCAGGAGCGGAGAAGGAGTGCTTCCAGTTGTCTTCACGTTTCCTTCCATTTGCTTTCGAATCTGAACCTGCCAGGTCCCATTTCTGCCAGTGGCGGGACCTCGGGGAAATCCCTCAGTGACATTTGCATCCCGTTATTCTTGGGTCATTCTTTCCCGCCGTGCCCGCCGCCTCTCGCCCGCTTCGCCACTCGCCCAATGGAACATACATCCTCCCGCCAGTCCTTCCTACCGACGGAGTACCTTACTGCGTATGACTACGGACTCGGAGTGTGCACCCACGCATGCCACGGCACCTTAGTTGCGCACCTCAGTCTGTCATCTCCCGACTCCCGATTCCCTGCTTGCAAATCAACAACTTAACCGCCACCTACCGTTGCAATGCCTGCGCCCTGCCTGTCTCCATGTTCAAATCATCGTCTACGAATACGTGTTCGACTTTCGACCTCGAGACTGTCTAGCCGCGCCCCCCCCCTCCCGGTCACTGGGATGTTTACGCTCACAGTCACACCTTTCACCGCTCACTCCACGACCGAGTCGTTCGGCGTCCGATACGAATTTGATCCCCCCCCCCCCCCGGTCCTGCAAGCAATTGAATGCGTTACAAATTACAATCATCACATCACAATTGCCGCCGTTGTCGCCGTTGTCGCTGCTGTCCATATGCTGCCGCCCTTGCGAGCTTGCTTGCTATCATCGCTAGGCTCACCAACAATTCGGGCTCCTTTTCTACCCATAACCTGCACGCTACCGACCGACCGTCCCTCGTCCAGGCATGTCGAGACAGCCTTGCCCAAGTTAATGCCAATGTGGCCGTGGCTCCTACAAAAGCGCCGGCGTCAGCGCCAGCCCAGGAACCGACGCCAATGTGCTTTTAGGGCTACTGTGTGCTCAAGAAGCTCAGGTCCCCCAATCCCCAATCTATGGGCTATACTCGAATGAACTAGGCAAATCCCGACACCCTGGTTTGGGGGTTCACCAAGAAACGCAGCCCGCTGCTAGAGTGATCTGTCGCGAAGGTTAGGGCGTCGACAGATCTCAAGCGACCCAAACCGCTGGGATTCGACTAAGCAAGCGTTAATGCCCCTGAGGGGCACAGTGTCTGCTTCTTCTCCAAAGTTGTTGGTCGCCCCCCTGAAGGAACGGGAACCAGTCCAAAACTAAACCAAACCAAACCAGTCCAAAGGCCGTTTTCTCTCGCCCTTGACCTCGCACCTACATACCTACCACGTCCCTACAGAGTACATGCACCGTCTCCGTACACACAAGCCCGTACTCTGTATGGATGCTCAGCGCCAATTCATCCTCGGGACGACCACCAAACGTGCTAGCGGCGATGTGTACATGCTTGCACGTTTGTTCCAACGACAAGCCGTCCGGCCCAGTGTTCCGGGACAACTAGCTAGTCACTGCGCCGCCCTAAGTCACGATCAGCAAGAGCCTCCATGAAGTTGGTGTACGGATACACGAGGAAATCAGCCGCCCAGAATTTACTCCAGCATGCAACATGTCAACATGTCAACTTTTGACATGGAGGCGTACGACTTTGGCTTCCTTTTGCTACGCACGCTCAACTGTCAACGAATCCAACCAGCTGCGACCAGTCAAAGCGGCATATCATGCGCCGTCAAATATCCATCCGTACATTTCGCCCGAATAACAAACTCGACAGCGGCAAGCGCCCGTCAGCCCGCAGCCACACTCCCCTCAGCCGTCCAAACACTTCGTTCTCAGAATTGTCACCGTCATGACGCACGGTGTCGGCATCATCCTTTGCATCGATCTCAATCATGCGTCCCTATGAATCACGAATTTGACAACCAACCGTAATTTCCCCGACACCCAAAGCAGGGCTGGCAACCGCTTTGCCCGACGACAAGTTTTTCCAACGGTACCAGTCTCTTTGCGTCCTTTTGTTTCTATCATACACCCGGTTTGTTCCGGCGCATAATTCGACCCTGTTCCGACTGAGGTATCACTCCGTAGCTGGCGTATTATCACCGTCAATGAGTAAACGAGACAGCAACAGCAGGAGGTTCCCTCATACACAGCTGTACTCATTGCAGCCATGCGAAAAGGGCAAATGATAGAAACGACATTTAGACAGGATAGACCCATATCGGGTCGCGGATTCCAGAGGAACACGAGAAGTCGGGACGAGGTCGCGCGGATACCTCGGGACGACAAGCAGCAGGACAAGGTCATCAGACCCAAAGTTTCTGACCGCATTATCCATGCCGTGATTCCAATTGCCTGAAGTATGCAGCTCAGAAACAACAGCCACTCCCAGGTCTACTCTACTCCTCTTCCCTTGGCTAACATCCATGTCGGCCGCTGCTGGTTGGTCGTCTCACTACCGCACTTTTCTCTCTTGCCGTCGAATCTATCTGGACAGCTGCCAGTAGAAAATAAAAATAACAAAACCTGAGCTTACCTTGGCCCTGGCATGGCTGGATTCCTACCATGCCCCAGCGGACGACCGAATATCGCTGCAACACTCAGTTAGACCAGACTGGATCGATGGGACAGAAGCCAGTCACCATAACGTCTACGATTTTGGGGCCTGCCTACCCCTCCACGCCCTCCTCGCATGGGCCTGGGATTCTGCTCGCACGTCCCTTGTCAAGCTCAAATACCACCTCAGCGAGGCACTCCACGTGCAGACTAAAACTTTGTACGCCCCCGATGTCTGCACTCTGGTCGATACTGCCTCACGTGGAAGTATCCACTGATGTGCAGACCATGCCGTTCGGAGCACGACAGTCCTACCGTCCAACCCACGCCATAGGACAATGGCTTGACCCTGTCCAACTATCGTATGAGCGCCTACGAACCGTATCGCCTGGACAAGCCCATGTCAGCAGCTATCGTGGACTGTCGCATATCTTCGTGGACAATGTTGCACAACCGCAGACAATACTCAATTAGAGTTGTGCTGGCAACGAGTTACTGGTTAATCGTTTCCGGTGCTATTGATGAACGCTGTGAGCGTCGTTGCAGGGCAATGAGGAGAAGAAGATGGCCCAAGACTAAGCGTGGCTAGACAAGGTTGTCATCGTGCTAACCTCACAGCCGCAAGGTAATATCGCGTGGTACCTCGATTTACCTTCGCGTCTTTATCGCGGATAGCGGGCGGCTTGAAGGCTCGAAGCGGTTCTTCATTCGATTTCGGTTTTGGTCGCTGCCGTACTCCGTATGCTTTCCTCCTCATTTCCTTTCTTATCATCCCCTGCCTGGTCCTGTACGACTCCCCTCTTTCTCTCTCTCTCTCTCTACCTAATTCTTGACAAGCTTGTGCCCTCTTCTGATCCCTCGCCGCACAACTTCCCAGCCAATATCGGAAGCACACCTCGGCAGCAAGGATTTTTCTCCATCAAACAGGCCCACCGATGGTTAGAACGGGGTCACTTTCGGCTGTTCTTTGCATTTCGGGAGACCTTCGCGTCTGTCATTTGATGCCCAAGCCAGAGGGGGGATTTTGAGTTTTTCGTGAGGCTGGAACCAATCTCGCAGCATGCAGCATTGTCCACACAGGGCAAGTGTCTTGCTCACACCGCCTTTCTGCCTCTTTCAGGCTGCAGAACGAGAGGTTGCTAATTCGATCGAATACGGGTGGATCTTTTGATTATTACTCGGATTCGAACAATTCACCGGCAGAATTCGACCTCGGCCGTCTTCTCCCCATCGATATCTGGTCAGCTCGGTACGGAGTACGGATACTCATAATAAACAGATCATGATCGTTTGACACCATCTCGCAGTATAGAAGGGAAGGTGTGCACGGCCTCAAGCAATCGGGATTCAATGCCACCGCGAATCGAATGGGAGAGCCATGCAGCATGCCAAGTGTCAGGCATCGCGGTCTGCATAACGCTGCTCTGGAAAGAACAAGTCCCGTGCACCAAAGGGATCAATTGATGGATATGGATCGCCGCAACGAGCAGGTGTCAGCACTCTTTCCAAAAGCCAAGAAGCAAGTTTCAAGGCTTGTCTGAGACATATGTTCCTGACTACGGATACCTGACTCCCAACGCTTCGAGGCTTGTGCAGCAGCTAGGGCAGAAGGGACAGACGCCTCAAGTGCCGCTAAAATGATGATGGAATCATTGCCAAGGTTCAGAAACCAACCCGGAAAAGCGCCTCTTTCGAGCTATTCGACCGCAGACAGTGATCCCCAGTTGACGAGTTGCTCTAGCCGATACGTCTCACATGTTGCTGGACATTCCGCGAGGCCAGACCATCAGGGACATTGTGCGACAATGGCATATGGCACCCCTGATGGATGAAGTCATGAGGCCACCAGGCGGTCAGTCCCCCCCGGAGGTGTTGTCGACTTCCTGGCAGCACCCGATGGTGTCAAGCAGAGTGCAGCCAATTTCAAGCCCCCAACGCGCAAGGATGCTTCATTCCCCCTGGTCGAATTGGGGTGGGTGGGTTGCGCTGGCTCAGCAGACAGTGGCCAAGACATCGATTCTGGCACTGTGATCGCAACTGGCACGACCTGCATGTCCTTAGGTAACGCGCATGGATAAAGTGCAACCTGGATGCTGGGAAAACGGCTTATTTCACTCGCCGCCAGTTGGCCGAGTATCACACATCCACAGCGGCAAGTGACGACGGTCAAAAGCGGTGCGCGGGCCACGGCCAAGGAGACATGCGCATGTGGACAACAAGCAGACAGGCCATCAAGGGCATTCCCGCATGCCTCTCGCTGGTCGACGAAGGGCGAGTTGGCGGTGAAGGGACCACAGAGGAGAATGGGAAGGCCGTGCATATCCGCTAGAGCCGGACGGCTGAGACGTCTGCCCTACGCCTACGGGAGAGGGAATGGGAACGAAGTGGAAAGGATTTCAAGGAGAAAAAGGCTCAAGGCTCCCGGCTCCAGGCTGCAGCCAATTGAGGCACCTATCACGATGGCTCCGCTGTTTACGCCGCGCCTATCAGCATCCGTGTGTACAAACATCCGGGAACAGTCGAGATCGGACGCGCCAGATTCCGAGAAACACGGCCGGCAGCGGAGCAATCCAAGTGGAGGTACGAGGCGAGGAGGCGAAAAGACACTCTGTCGGCCGGCAGCAGTGGGAAAGTCGATTTGCCCATCTCCCCATTTGCCGTGGGCCAATTTTCCTGGCAATGGTTCACATGGACATGAAGATCGTCCTCCTACTTCGGATCCACTACTTCAGCCGTCCATCCACGGGTACAGTACGGTCTACCTGATCATCTTCACCACACGGATCCAGACAGGGCTTACTTACACACGATGCGCACATGTCCACCCCAGCCAGACAGATGTCGATACTCGATAGTCTCTCAGGTAAGGCGGCCCTCAACACTCGGCTATCCCCATTGGGCCAATCCGCCTCGTTCGTGATGCATGGTTGTACATACACTGCAGTTCAACTTTATGATGTATCATCGTGCGAATTCCACGAGGGGGGCAGATTCCTTTCCGCTATCCGGCCTGGTCAAGCTGGTCTAGGCGAGCGGCCCATCGAGCACCGCATCCCCACAATCAAACAATCCCTTGCAGCTATCGGTGCTGTCTTCGCTGCAAAACGTTCAGTGTATGGAGAAGATGTCACCGGGTGCTTCAGCTGCTAGCTAATGCGTGCGACGATGGGATACCACGGATACCTCCCCACGTTTACTAGCCCAGCGATCCGCCGCGATAATTGAGTCTATTACTTGGTAATCGTGCCACAAAGAGGAGTTGCGTCAGACTGGAGGAGGAGCGGCCAGAAACATTTCAAACCCCGCGAAAACAGCCTTCGATCAAGTCTACTTGCAGCGAAACTCACGAGTCGATGAGAGCATCAAACTCCTCCAACCTGGCTAGGGTTTCTTTCTTTACCAGCTCATATGACTACCTCACTATTGTAACTGGTCGTTCTGCAGATTGTCTTCTGCATCAACACCTCGGAACCTGACTCGCGACCTCACAGCAGTGGCTCGTAAGAGTGCTCATCTCACGCATAGTCAGGGATTTTTGCGCCCTGTCGATCGGCTGCTTCTGTTGCCTGCCATTGATCGACCAAAGACGCTCCACGCGCCCAGCCCTGAACCCGAAAGAGCGAGCTCCGGGCAATGATGATCACTGAAGAAACTTGCGCCTCCGCCAAAAGCCTTGAAATCCAAGACCGACGGGGCATCAATCGAAGATCGGTTACGTGCGTGCCGTAGACGGCGGTACTGGTCACGCTGAGTCATCATCTCGGCCGACTAAGCACATTCCCGGGTGGCGTGCTGAAATGTTTCTGCGTCTAGCGTTCGGAGGACAACCGAGAAACCAAGTACGGCGGTCCTTTCGAGTACTAAGGACGCATGCTGCGTGCCATGGCCATCTGCATTAAGGCCGTGTCCAATCAAATTGGGCAATTCATGCTCGACCGCACGGCACATGATGAGTTCTGGCTGCGGGCAGGCGTAGGCAAGCGTGGCAGGCTGGCACGGCTGGTTACCACACGACCTATTTGGACTGGTGTCGGCTTAGATCGGCCTCAGTACTCAGTCAGTGAAATCTACCGACCATCCACTCGTTATTTGGTTGTGGCACGTATTGGTACTTGGAATTGAGCCTCACCACGCCAACTTCCCATCCAGGGTTCCGGAAAGACTTGATACACGTGCCGCCATGACCAAAGAAGGGGCAAAATCTGGCCAATGCATCATTTTTACTCCCGACTCGTCAAGAAATTTGTCCATGACTTGAATATTCCTACGGCTCTTGGGAAAGAACCTGCGTTGGCCAGTCTCTCCCATCTCGATTTCCCCGAGCCTCTCAAACCAGCCGGAGCAATGAGATACGATAGGGGCTTGGGCAGACGAAACCTCCTCTTGCCGGCGAGAGGGCCGACAGAGAGAGGTTGTCGCCTTTCCCGTGGCCGATGATTTGCATTCGCCGACATCTGACAAGGTCCGGCCCAGTTTCAACAGAGGCCAGAGTGTGTGCGTGACAATATGTCTTGCGCTTACCCTGCGAGCCAACGCAAATCACGGTTCTCTAGCGATGCTCATCATCTCGGGATCACCAGTCAAAGCAGCATCGATAATGCTTGTACTGGAAGGACTGGTTGGAGTATTCCTCCTGCAAACCGCGCGTACTCTTGCGAAGAACTGTACCGCCGACTATCGAACTCAATAAGAAACATCGGATGATACAGCTCCAAATATGCCCATCCTTGCTCCCTTTGGCATTTACTGTTCAAGTCTCAATCCATGGGTGTTCCCTCTGGCAGGATGACGGGCCATTCTCGATGCGCAATGCTTCATCCAGATGATATCGAACCCCTGAGCGGCGAAACTTTCGTCGGCGGCCAGGATTAACAGACAGCAGGTGACCTTGGAAAGATACGAGCTTGGAGATTATGGGCATTGAAACCGCCTAGATGTTTACAGAGCTAGTCACTCATCCCAACAACAGGTCGATCTCGTCAGTGAACGTTGTCCGTGCGAGAGGATGGTCTATCAGCTGCATTCATCCCGCAAATCGACATGCATTGGGAGTCAGCCTGTGGCTGTCGTTTGGGCTACTTATTTCTAGTGTACAACCGTTGGGGCTACTGAATGGTACGATACGTTCTTGGGAGGTCTACCTATCAGACCAGCAGCTTCCGAAAGGCATAGCTTGAGACTACAGAGATCCGAACGTCGTCGCCGCCGCCGCCGCCGTCGAGGGTGCCTCTGAAGGTATCTTAGTGAAGAAGACAAATAATAGACATCCGACAATATAACTATACCAACTAGCAACTTACAATAGTGACACTCTCGCTTCCGCCACTACCTCGTCCTGGCTTGGCTTCCAGCACTCATGGCTCCCTACTATAGCCCCCGCGGAGAAGGACAACATTATCGTACTATACCAACGACCGTCTACCAACTAGTTGGTGACTTTCTTTGTTCTCGGCGATCTCTGAAAGGGATAGTGGCAGATGAGTGCTCCAATATGCTCCCAATGGTGCCGACGGCTCTCGCAATTCACGATACAAGAAACACTGACACGACTGAGAAGCGCGATGGTGAACATACACTAGGGAAGATGCAGCAATCGGTCTTCGAACTGGGAGCATGGTGCGACTAGGGAACATCAACCTTTCACGGCTAGTGGATTGTGGCTACCTTTGGCGATTAAATTTCTCGATCCTCCTGATGAAAGGTGTCCTCCATCTCACTCTCTCCAGCCGGCTTGGCGTCCGTACAGAAGCGCCATGCAAGAGATGAATGGGGAGTTGCTTCTTGGACTCGAGGCCTCGAAAGACCTTGGAGATTTCTAGCGTTCTCTAATGGCCGTTATGCCATGTGCTATTAATTACAAGTAGGTTTGACTTGCATCAGAAGCTGCAGCCGATGTAAGCCCGCATCTGATGATTCGCCTCAGCGCCCGCTACTCTCGTCCAGCTTCTGCCTGCGCTTGTAGAAGCAACTGGCACAGCTTTGCTGCGTTGCCAATGGACAAGCAATATTCAGCAGCGTAGGACCCATACCGGAGCAGAATAGTCCATACGATTCCCTTCAATGGAACCCCAAGGTTACATCGACAAGCCGATTGAGATAGTCTTCACAGATGGAACGTACGGATACGGATATTCTTGTGCGAAATCCGGACCTAATGCGCGGTTTCCGCCTATTCAAATAGCGGCGGTGATGATATCGAATCGCACGACTCGCGCTTGAATGTCGTTGAAAAAGGGGTTTTGGGTTGCATATTCCCGGGTGGGCCTCGCGCGACCGGGGCTACGTCGATCCTTGTGAACATCATCCGTCGACCAGGACACCACGTTGTTTATTCCTGCTGTCTCGCCGGTCTCCAAGCCCCAAGCACCTGGCCTCGGGTCGTACGCGAATTCGATTGGGGAGCCTTGCTTTTCTCCGAGCTATCGCACGCAACCAAGTTGCACAAAGAATAACGCCAAATGGGAGGTAACATGGTGCGGCAATAGTCCACCCTTTCACTTGGGACGGCGGCACCGGGTAACCTGTAGGTAGGTACGAATACTCCGTACCTGGCTGGGGCTAAGCCTTGAATGTAAGACGGACACTCCCTTTGGGGCCTTTGCTTCTGTCTTGAAGCCGTACTTCTTTTGGGGAAGAAGCCTTGAAACTGTAAACATCGGATTATGGCAGAAGCTCGAGGCACACAAAAAAAAAGAAAAAAGGCGCACCACGGTGTCCCGAGACTGCGGTCGTGGTATTCCCTCTGGGGAAAATGGGGGAAGCTTCCATGCTGCGTACCTTATGCAGGTCAAGCAAAACTCAACCGAACGAGACGGGTTTTACATGGCTCACGACTCCGCTTTCCCCTTTGAGAGATGAGAAGATGACGCAAGCCTCAAAACTCAGCCTCCTGTCGCAGGACATCTGGTGAGCTACGAGCATTGTTCATCGTTTCAATGTCAGGACATATGGGCAATGGCAGTGAAGAGCAGAATCAAACGGGCACATCGACTCGGGGTTCCATCTGGTACTGAAATTGGAATTGGTGTCCCGACTCCCTGCTCCCTGTCCGCAAGTTTGTATCCATTTACCAAGTTACAGGCTTTCCTTTCCTTGCAAAGATACGGACACCGAGCATATCTTGAGACTGGATGTCAAAGGTCCCCGACAGAGTTTGGGCCCAGAGCGCGCCACACACGTCGACACGGCCTCTATTCAGCTAGCGATTCTTCAGCGTCGGTTGACGGCTCGCTCTGTTTCTCGCCATTACGACCTACGGCAGGCTAGCTGATGCTCTCCCGCTCACCAAAAGCCGCCGCGGTGCGTGCTTGCAGGCTCACTCTGGCCATA